AAGGAAGGAAGGAAGGAAGGAAGGAAGGAAGGAAGGAAGGAAGGAAGTTGGTTGGTCTTGATTCTTGAGATACTGAATTGCAATGGGTGCATTTTTCAACAGGAAGTCCTCAAAGAAAAAGTCAGAAGTTTATTATTCACCTGAAGTCAGTAGTTTACATAACAGCACTTCCTCAAGTGATCTTATAGCACAGCCTGACTCATGCTACAAGAGGCACAGCCTCTGTTACTAGGTTCTAAGCCATTTTAACAGCAATAATTAGGAATAACACTGATTTTTTTGCTATCTCCACTCTATGAAGCTGAACATTAATTCATATGACCAGATAGTATAATAAAACTTTAACTGCACTATCAAGGGCCAGCTCATGTGGAAACCTTTTAATATATGCTAAAGCTCTCTCATTTGGACAGCTATCCTATAAGCATGGAGATCAAAACCTCAGTGATGTCACTAGCACAACTTGGAGAGGGCAGGGCTGCTTGCTATTCAAAACGTTGAATTGCAGGATTCCTAGGGACATTGGAAATCATCTGGTCAGTAGAGGAATCCACTACAACAACATCTCTGAGAGATAGCATCCTCTGAGGCAGGTTGTTCTACTGTTTCACCTGAACAGATCTAGTGTCCTACAATGAACATTGATCTGTAGCAATGAAATATGCTCACAAATATGAAGCATGGAAGAGGTAGGGCAGACAGAAAGAGATATAGGAGATAGTGGTGAGAGAGAGAGGGATAAAAAAGATGATAAAAGAATTAGAAGATGCTACAAACATAAAGAGAGTGTAAGATTGTGGGCATCTGCAGAGGGGCATGGTAGGGACAACCAATGACTTGTGCATGATGACATCATCATGCAAGGCTGTGATTTATGTATTTGTGTCAGATGTGAGGCAAGTACATAATTACAGCATTTGCATGGTGATGCGTGTGTCGTCATGTTGACATCATTACAATTTGTTATGAGTACTGCTATGTAAGACAGAAAAGTATGGGTGAGAAACAGGGGAGAAAGATAGCTGGCAAATGTTGCTTGCTTGTTTAGATTTCTGCATGATAGCTTAATTGTGTCTCCTAAAAGCAAGTCTAAACACATTCATTTTAAAAGAATTCTAGCACACATGAAGACTCAGACTTGGCTGAGCTCCAAAGGAAAACAGTTTATTTTAAATGCTCTATCTGAATTTAGTTTATCAAGGGTATAATATATAGTTAATAGGATATTTATTTATGTGCCACAACTTTGGGTGGCTCACAACAATAATAAAAACCAAAAAAAAAAAAAACCAGTCCCAACCAATGCTTTTTAATATATCAATATATAAAATCCCTGGGCTCTAACTCACCCTTTCCCAACAACTGGGGGAAGACCCAGTTTTTTCCACCATTCCAGAAGGCTAAAAGAGTAGAGGGTCTACTGGATCCCAGGAAGAAGGGTGTTCTATGGGGCACAGACTGCTACAGAAAAGGCACACTTCCTTGGTCCCACTAAAAGGCAACATTTGAGGGAAGACACCTGGAACGTGCCAACTCTATTCAACCTGATGGAACAGGCAGATACACTCAGGGAGAGATGGTTCCACAAATAATCTGGCTCCATGGCATGCAGGGCTTTAAAGGTGATAGCCAGCGACCTGCATTGCACCTGGAAAGACACTAAGAGCCAGTGCAATTTGCGCAGCAGTTGGGCAAACGGGGGGTGCCCAACACTGCATGAGCTATTGCATTCTGGACCAGTTGTAATTTATGGGTGGTCTTTAAGGGCAGCCCCATGTAGAGCGTGTTGCAGTAATCCAAGTGGGAAATGACCAAAGCATGAGTGACCATGAGCTAGTCCTTCCGGTCCAGAATATTGTCAACTAATCTTCTGCAGGTGGATGCAACTGTTAAAATTCTGTTTTGGTTTCAGAGTACTTTTAACGTTCTGGATTTCCTCATGTATTACTTCAGGTTATTTAACTATGTGAACATTAACGGGTGTGGACTGAAATTATTCAGAGTTGTCAGAACAATGAGTTCTCAGTATGCCTTTATCCCAGCCTGCTCACTCAGTGTAGTACCAGTATTTACATATGTGCACTTCTATGCCTATCAAATTTAAAGTGAATAATATTTTAATAACAGGAATACATGCTTACTCAAAGTAAGATGCTGACTTACAGGGTTGTTGAATTTGGGGTGGTTATTCTAAGTTAAGTGAAAATATACACTCTAAATACACTCTAAATTTATGAGGTTTTCATTTTTGCCCTTCTTTCAAAAATCACATTTGCATTTAGTATTGCCTTACACTCAATTTCAAAAGTTACTTTTCCTCCATAAATGCAATCTCCTTCTCTCAGACACTGAAAACATTGCCTTTCTAACAAACTATCAACTTTTATTTATTTCACACACATACATGCATACACACAAGCAAACTGTTTTAAAAAGCAGAATTTCTGATTTTGGCATTTTCATAAACTATGTCATAGCATGGTAGACAATTTAGGAACGTTTTTTGTTTCTGAGCAAACAAAAGATCCGTAATAAGGGAAATGATCTCTTTTACTGTCTTTTTAAAAGATCTTACAAGTCAGTGCTTCTCAACCTCAGCAACTTTAAGATATGTGGACTTCAATTCCACACATCTTAAAGTTGCTGAAGTTGAGAAACACTATTGTAGATGGATGGCTCCTCTCAGGTTCAATCAAAAGCTGTCATGCAACCGTTTTACATTTCTGTTGTAACAAATATTCTGTGGTAAGAAAAAATTGAAAGAAACAGGGAGAGTATTGAAAGGTAGAACATGGAAAACCCAGGCCTTAAACCTCCTTCCTCCAGTTTACCATTGAAGTATGAGGTGGGATGAAATCTGGAGCCCCCCAAAACTATACAAAATGGTATCTCCTTATGCCCCAACTCTGTGAAACATCAATATCTGATGGACTGATGATCAGGAATCATGTTTCCTCATTCATACAAATTACTGGCTTGCAGATATTGAATCTCCACTAATTTCCCCAATGGTAGACTTCCTCTTCTCTCTTTTTAGCTAACCTTCCAACTGCTGGAATAATTCCTGGTGGCTTTCAAACAGTCCCAGTAGCTTCATTTCCCTGACACAGTCTGATTTTCTGGGTTTGTATTCTTGCTAGCTGTCTGAGATTCCATTCTCATTCCGCCACAATTGCTTTCCCCACAATAGAGACAGAATATTTTCACTCACCTAGTTCTGCTGTAAAAGTCGTTTCCTCTTTCAGTCCCAGTCTTCTACCAACAGCTTTTCACCTGCGGTTGCAAATTCTGTTCACTCTTTAAAGTGATTTAGGGAGCTTATAGTGAAGTTCTGAGGCCTGGACTGGGAAAATCCTTTTTGAGAACAGCAATGACCTTCAGTCAGAGCACCTGTCACCAGACTCTACGTGTTTGGAAGCAAGGTTTTACCAAGACACTGTTTACTTTGTTTCCAGAGTCACAGCAAGCTTGATTTAAAGCAACAGGTTTCTTTTATTCATATTTAATGCAAGCACATTGCCAAGCGTCATTTGTGCTGCTTGAAGGTTTAGTCATCAGGCTTTGTCAAGCCACTGAAATAATGTCTGAGTGAGAACCCAAAGCCACTCCACTGACATGTGAAGATTGCAAAGTGACTAAATCAAAGAATATATGATGAAGGCAAAGTGTGCGATATAGTTATTAAAATTAAACATAATGAAATTTGACTGCTTTTCTAATACAGATAGTCCTTGCTTGGCAACTGCCTCGTATAGTAACTGTTCACAGTTACGACAGTGATGAAAAAGTAACTTTGCAACCAATCCTCACATTTGCGACCTTCGCACATCTATAAAGCAAAGGAAAGGTGAAGTAAGATCATAAGCACAGTCGTGGTTTCACTTGGTGATTGCTTTGCTTAACGATCAAGTTGCTGGTCCCAATTGTAGTCACTAAATGAGGACTACCTGTACAGCTTTACAGCTAATCCCAATTTTTCTGAGAATTGTTGACATTTATTTTGTAAATGTTGGCACTCACAGAGCACAAGAATTTCCAGTTCAAGTTTTTAAGAATTACACAACAAGTGCCAAAGGTGCCTGTGCCCTAAAGTAAAGAAGTTAACTGGATATGTCTGTCAACTGGGCAAGAGATGAATGGAACTGACAAATTCACTCAAAATTCAGAAGAATGTTCTAAAAGAATGGTTGGATTGCTGGGTCACCTTTTCCAATGTACTGAAAAAATGTCCACTATAATAACATGTTGGAGCAAAAACTATATGTATGGTTGATTCAGAAATCCATATTTTATCAAAGATTAAAGTTTGCAAGAAAAACCCATTCATAGGAATTTACACTAAGGCTGTGTTATAAATCAAAATACCTTTTTAAAGTTATTGTCCCATTATCAGTCTATTTCAAGAATTACTTACCAATACTTTATATTCATAACTCACCCTCCAAGTTTTTTTTTAAATTGGGAGCTACTGATGCCTCTTTCATAAGAAGTGACACTACAAATGGAATACAATATTCCAAATGAGTGCTCCATTGTTCAATATGCTGTCATTACATTCTTTTTCAGATTATTTCTGAATCCTTTTATTAGTGCACCCACACATCCAATTTGCATTTTATAACTAAAAAGAATCACTGCAACCACCTTAATTTTAGCAAAGTAACAAATAAAAATCAATGGATGTTGAAGAGCTTGATTTTGTCCTCACTTGTTGGATTACATATCGTTCCATCTCCAAATGACTCATTCCTAGTTTATCTCAGTAAAGCAAGTAGGGAGTCAGGCCTATAGCAGAAAGCTTTTCATTAGCTTAAAAAGAGTTTATAGTTAATTACAGCATTTGGCAATTTGCTTTTTTACTGGAAAGGTAATGGTTGATGTGAAAGAGATTAACATATGTTGTTCATAGTCTTCCAAGGGAAATCACTGAATTCCTATAAACTCTACTGGCTTATTATCTTCTGTCTACAAGGGGATGAAATACACTCCATTTCATTAATGGAGTCCTTGATGCATGCAATTCTGTTGCAGAAGCTTTACTCAGATGTGTATATATGAATCCACAAGTGCAGGTATAAACATCCAGTAGCCACTATGACCATAAATGGGGGACAGTCGCACTGAAATTCCAGAGCACAAAATCTGGATGAACTGCATTAACATAAATAGGAATGCTATTATATACCTTCATTTTTTGTGGATTAAATGGGAAAAAAATCCTATTACATTGGTATCCCAATCTGACATTTTTTAGCTTTTTCTGATGGCATCTTCATACATTTTCTCAGGATTCTTTATCTTCTATTACTTTCTACATGTAGCTTCATTTAGTGACCATAATTGGGACCAGCAACTCAGTCATTAAGTGAAGCAGTCACTAAGTGAAACCATGACTGTGCTTATAATCTTACTTCAGCTTTCCTTTGTTTTACAGACTTGCGAAGGTCATAAATATGAGGATTAGTCACAAAGTTACTTCTTCATCACTATCGTAACTGCAAACGGACACTAAACAACACAGTCACTAAACAAGGACTATCTGTATTACCTTCTATGTGATGTTAGAACATTATTATTACTATCATTATTAACAACAAGATTAGGGACCACTCATCAGTGACAACAAGGTTTTATACTAAGGGCATAACTAATTATATTGGTAAAACAAAGTAATGCAACAGTTTAGAGGCAGCTAAAGAAGAGCATAGCCAATTAAAACAAATGTTATACAAAGATACAAGAGGATACTTTTTAAAAAATAATTGGAATAGTTAGTCATTATCAATCATTTTCATTGTCTGATTCAAAATATCCATCACAGATGCATTTTAAACCTTTTAATCTCAGTATAATTGAAAATGCCTGGCCTGTTCTTAGAGTTACTTAATCCCAATGGAATTTTTTCTTATGCATAAAAAATAAAGATGTAGCATTTAACTCAGTTTTGTACAGATTAGCCCCCATAAAAATGTGCATCAACCCATAGTACAAAAGATCAAGATTTATAAGCAGGACAACATATCTGCTTCAAAAGAAATGAGATCACTAGTGGCTACTTTCTACCTTTTCAGTTAGTTACATAAAATATGAGTTCAGGTGAACAATGTGAGGAATGTGCTTAATTTGTCAACATCTTTTACCTGCATCAGAATTTGGGCATATGCCAGGAAGTTGCTTTGGTGCAGAGCTTTGTGTATGTTAGCCAGGGCACCTTTAAATGTTGTGCCAAGTTGTATCTTATAGATAGAAATTGTGCCCTGGCAACAGTAGAGGCTTTTGAATGATAAAATGGTCTCAATGTCCTCTAGATATTGCTCAATTTTCTTTGCTACATGCCATGCTGGTACAGTGAGATGTAACAAAGTTCATCAATGCTTTTAAAATATTTGTAAAACTTCTGTCTTATGTCAGTATATTCATGTCAGTACTTTGTGTTTGTCACTGGCCTGCTTGCCTGCCTGCCTTCCCTCATATTATGTGAACCCTGGAATAATTTCTCTTTGGATAATTGGCCACCTTCCTGCTCTGCATTCCCATCTACCTGCCATTCTCTCAAGGTTCTGAAATGCCTGATCTTGGGGCATTTCTGCCACCATGTAGAAAAAGAACCATAGAAGGGAAGCTTTGATCCAAGTGGAAGAGCCTCATTATGCTTTGAACCTAGTCCAATCTGCTCATGCATCAGAATAATAAGGGAAGAAGGACGAGAAGAATTTCTCAGCAAGAAACCTTCAGCACGCATTTTGAGGTGATGGCAGACAAAACACAGAGGGTTACTCTGCTGTCTGTTGGTTTTCACAGGATCTTTTCTGCCTAAACTGACTTCTATCCTGCTTGGACAGCCCCTGGCTTTTGGAGGACACAGAAAAAGGGTGAGTCAGGTTAGGCTGTGCCTGGGCATCTAGGACTCAAGGAGGAAAAGTGGGGGGGAAGAGAGAATGCAGTGGAATAGGATTATAGAAGCTCCCCACCACCAAAAGATGGGGAAAAGGTCATGGGAAGGACAGGGAACTTGCTCCCCAGTTTAACAATGCGGAGAAAGAATGAGTTTGTCAGGACATATATATGTACCCAGGCAAGCACATCCAGCTACATATGTAAACAAAAACATAAAAAGAGACATTTAGCAAGTAAGTTGGCCTAGCTGACCACCAAGATTGAGAAAGAGAAATCTGGGAAGTAAGTTGATTGATTCACATTGAAAGAAAGTATGGGTCAAGTGGAGAGCAACTGAGAGATTCGTGGGGTGAATTAGCTGACACAAAAGAGAACAAAAAAGGTTTTCTGTTGGAATAGACAATAGAGGGTTACAATAATAATTCAGGTTACAATTTCAATCTCTGCTCGCAATTTCTTGGGGAATTTACCTTTGTCTTTGTGGTCTTCCAGATGCTGCTTGTTTACATTGTGAACAAATGACCCAAACTGATATTAACAGTGGAGATGGCAGAAGAGATATAAGACTAAGGTAACAGTGACTTGTTCAAAGTCTCTTGGAAAGCTTCAAAATAGGATGACTGTGTTTGCATGACACACCCAAGATTACCTAATATGTTCACATGACACACTGAAACATTAACTATTTGGTCATGACATGCTAAGCTAAAATTGTGGTTCTCTATTTTCTGCAAATAAACCTGTGGGTATTCAAGCTTGCTGTTCTGTCTGTTGCAAGAGATATCCTGATTCTGTGATATTTTTATACCACTAGAATTCACTTCACTGAGGTTTGCAGAGGAGAACTTGTGTGTTTTTTAAAAAAATGTTCACAAATATATTAGAGCAGACAGCCTTTTCACCTTCTTTGGGATATTTTTGTTTGCTTCATCTCTGAAGCCCAGAGTTCTTCAGAAATTCTATTTACCAAATCTAATCCACTAATGTATTATCTACTTTCACTTCATTATTATGTGTAATATTGCTAAGATTGTATCATGTTGTTATTTTGCATCAGATTTCAGTGTTGTCCATCCAGTGATGTCCATGTACACAATTACCTTTTGGGTTATTGGGAGAAGTTATTTGTTAGTGAATATTTGTGGAAGAACTCAGTGTGTCTTCTGCTTAATTTTGTACACCAAAGTATTCCCATTATTCCAGATGCTGCCTACTTCCAAATTTAGCATTTCAATCTTCTATAATAGGCATATATCTTTTTTGGTGTTCTGTTGACAAGGTACTGTGAATTGTCATAGAACTGTTCTATTTCTTCTTCCTCTAGTTTTATGGTTGGGGCATAGACATAGTTCATTATGATATTGATTGCCTTGGCTTGAATTCAAATTGAAATCGTTCTATCATTTGGGGAATTGTATCTGAGTACCCCTTTTTGTTAATAATGATGGCTGTTCTGTTTCTTCTATGGTTTTATTCTCTGCAATAGAAGCTTTAATGCTGCTCTGATGAAAAATGAAAAGTCCATTTCAGTCCATTAATT